TGGGGGCTGTGACCCCCAAACTGGGAGAGTGGCTCCAACAGATCCCAGTAACAACATCTGAGATCTCTGTCCAGAAGACTGCAGTCTTAGGAACAGCTAAGATACTGCACAGGACCCTCAAGCTCCCAGGCCTCTGGTAGAGGACCTGAGCTTGAAGGAAGGAATACAAGACCGCCCCAAAGTGGGGGTTGAGTGGGGAGTTCTTTTTTTTTAAATGTATATATGAGATAAGCTTGATTGACATCATAAGGATTATTTATCTAGAGGGAGGTCACATAGGTCTAAGAGTCACAGAAGGCAAAATATTACTTTAACAAGCTTGTAGTACTTGTGACAGACTGACCTTAATGTGTAAAATTGCTGTAAATGTCCCTAAAATGTTTTATTTCAAGGGACAGTGGATACTACAATAGTAAATAAGAGCCATTATTTACCAAAGTTTGCAACACAGTCACCTTCCCATTTTCTAAAATGTATTAATTTATTTATTTTACCATAAGTCTAATTTTTCATGGAGGTGAATAAACATTACATCTAGAAGATCAAACAAATTATGGATTGTGGATTAACCTTTGGGTCCACATCTTTTTTTAAATTAATATTTCACATTGAGTTGGAATAAGATGGAACTAGACTGACCCTTAGTCATAACACACTGGCCACGTGTTGTTATGAGGAGAACACAGGAGAGGTCTGGCTTTTTGAAAACTGTATGTACAGTAAGCACATTTGTAATCCTGTATAAATACAACTCAGCCATGTGCTCAAAAATACTTTGAGAATCACAATGTTTCCCCTGTGGATTTCACAGTCATAAAAGGAGACCGGTCGACTGTGGTTCATCGTTTAGACGGGTGGTAGCAGCGATCCTGTTTTGACAGTAAATGACATGATGTGAGACTACATTTAATGACATGAGGTGAAATATAGCTGGACTTCTGTTTTGTTTGGCATTGGAGTTTTGTTTTTCACTGACCTTGAGGGACAATTTCAGTAATATTCAGAGAGACAAAACTTGTTTTATGTCTCAAACAGAACAAATTTCTGTTGACAGGGCTAATTGCTAAGTATGTGGTTGCTGATCTCAAGGCCAAAGAACACTTTTGGTTGTTCCACTAAAATTTGTATAACTTATTCAAAAACCACAACATTTTTTCTTTACATTGACAGTGCTGTCTGGTTATACTGTATCCATTGTGCACAGCTTCAGTGGACTGAGATTTTCTAATAATAGAATATCAACTACTTGGCAACCAGGACTGCATTTAAAGATTCCACCTCCTTTGAAAAGGGGCTGGGCTTTGCAAAAGGGAATTCTATGTTTCATTTTGAAGTTATTGGTCCAGTTCCAAGACCATCTAGCCTCCAATGATCAAAGGCTGAGTCAGAGAAAAGCCTAGCGGGAGGCTTATGCAAAAATGTCGCCTTCTTATTGCGACTCGACCGACACGTTGGAAACCATCAGTGCTAGTTTAAATGTCAGTATACACAGATGCAGCTCGGCTGTGCTTGGTCAAGTTTGAAGTATGTGGATGAAAAAAGAAAAGCTTCTTGCTCGCATAAGTAGAATTTGGAGGATGTCAAACGTTGCATTGATTCAGTTCTTTGACCATGTACAACGTTGATTTGAACTCCAAGTCCTTACAAACCAAATAAATGCAGACAGTGATGCACATGACAAACATTTAGCAATTTGTGCAGGAAGTGGTGCCATTTGGATTTCTAGTTGTTTTTTTGTTTTTTTTTATTTCCAAAGCATTACCTTGTTGCTAAACCACATTTAATACATATTTTTGCTTTCTTTCTCAATAATGCCATCATGAGATGAGATCAAGATGCAGAACATAAGATGTTCCTTGAAATCCTACTTCCCCCAGCTAAAGAAGTGCTCAGCACTGGTCCATTATGTTAATAGTGAATCACTTGGTCACAAAGCAAGCCCTGTGTTTGCACCTTTAAAAGCAGGCCAGACGCTCAAAATCCCTTGACGGAAAGGGGGGTGTCTGGAGCTGTTAGAGGTAACTACCAGAGTGGAGTGAATGGGGGGTGACCTGATAGCATCGCTAGGAATTTAAACAAAAGTATTTTTCTCCCTCAGTGCCGCCATCTTTCAGTCTGACGGTTACTGTAAACATCATTCCAGCACACTGCTACTCCACATTCCTTTAACACTTTAATAAAATAAGGAAAAATGTCTAAAATATTGGATGTTTACTGGAGAAATTTTGTGTTTTAAGTCCTTAAAGGTGTAAAAAGGTCCAACTCTGATCATGTCCTTCACTCTCGACATACAAAATGAATGTATTTTTTTCTGTTGCCACCTCACTGCAGCTGTGGCTGAATAATTAATCCACTTTCAGAAATGCATGTTTATCTTTGTTGCTTAAAAAGTACACAGGCAAAAAATATATAGATATTTAGCTAATGATATCAGACTTTTAAAGAGAACACCAACTGCAAACTCTCACTGCTCTTCACAGTGATTTAAAAAGCCTTCAGAGATGTTGCAATAGGCCTTTCTCAATTTAAAAACCACTGACCTTAAAAGCTGTCCTCACACTTTGGGTTTGTATATAAAAATACATACCTTGGCAGTATGCAGAGAAGGGAATGTGCTCTATGTCCAACCAATCGCTACCTGCTGCATTTCTCTCTTAGGCAGTATCATATTCAAAGTATACATCATCAAATTCCAGTCAAAACAGGACATTAAAGAACTTTTACTTTTCTCCACAGAGCAATAGACTTTTTTTTTTAAATATAGTCCTCGTTTTATTAACAGCGGCCAAATAAAACTCATCACATTTTATTTACAAAGGGAGACAATAAATATCTTAATAATAGTCATAAAATTATTTTTGCTTACATTTGTTTAAAAAAAAAATCATAAATGTGTCATGTTGTTAGTAGCAACTCATACAAAAACCTGCCAGCAGGCAGGTGAATACATGCTATTGGTGAAAAGAGGCTGGAGTTTTTGTCATTGAGAGAGGGAACGACAGAAGAACAAATGTTTCCCTTTAGGATTCACACTCAAACTCTACCACGTTACTGAAAATGTTCCCTGAATCCTGGACATGCTGGTTTTCTGGGTTTCTGAGAAGGCCTACTGTAACTGTCATGGATTTATGGAGTGATTAGGGGTGAATGTGCTACAGTATTGTTGTGTGTGGATCAGTGATCTGACAAACCACCACAGGCCTTTCCCAAAAGCATCTTGGAGAAGTTCGTCCTGTGAGGATGAACGTAAAGAAGACAAACTCACAGTCAAAAGATAATTTGGAAAACAAAATAGAACCCAGTTCAAGTTGAATGTTTCATGAGATTAACTGTAGACAGACAGTCAGACTAAAGATAAAAAGAACAAGGAGGTAGAGGAAGACTGTTACACTGCCAATTTTCCACTATGCCGCTCTGGGTCAGTGTTGACCTTCCTTTATTCCACCACGAGAGGTAGTAAAATCGGCGCAACTGTTCCGCCTCAGCCCATCTGAAGAAGGTGAAAGGTGGCTTAGGGGGTTGCAGTTGAACGTTTGTGAAGTTTTGTTGAAGTGTTGTTTCTGTGATGCACCACTGGGGGATTTAAATTTTAATGTTGTTCGCATGAACCAAAATCTTTGATCATAATCATTAAAATGTTAAACAACAACTTTGAGTCCGAATCACGTTGTAAATGTGGAGGATGAGCAAAAGCACATCCCTGCTCTGTTCACCCACCACTGTTGATTTGAAAGCAACAATATTACTGGTGCGCTCTAGTACCGGGACACTGGTATCTGTGTAAAAAGAAGACGAGGCGGCAATATGCTGGCTTTTTGCTTTTTGTTTTTTTTTTTAGTTCAGTGTGAACAGGTAAAGCCACAATAAAAAAAGGACACCTTAATGGCAATGTAGTGGAATCTCTGTCTAAAAGAGGCTTTCATCACCAACCCCAAAATAATAGCTAGCTCCCACTCATCGAATCGAAGCTTCCTCTGAAACCTGTGACGAAGAAAGTGAGTCCAAGGGGAGATGAAAGGGAGACGAAAGGGATTAACATCCGTCACCCAAATGCAATGAAGTTGGAAGACTTTGTGGAATTATGAATCACGTGAACTGTTATTTCTTTTAGTTTATATTGTTTTTCTGTGTGTGTTTATATAAGATTGAAGCCAAGGCTGGTGCCTGACTAGTCAAAGCATGTTGTGTTTTAGCTGAATCACAGGCTGCATGGAAATGTCACGGAAATCACACACAGTACTCGGAGGGTTCAATGCATTCCAGGAGCCATGAGTGAAGCTGAGGTTGAGAGACATATGGAAAACAAAGAGGAAGATAAAGAGAGAGATCTGTAAAATATTGCACTCAGAGCCACACATTATCCCGGCAGCACAGTGTCACCTGCGACTGCCACCTCTCTCCATTTCATCTCCATGGTGTCTGATTCCAGTGGAAAGTATGGGATCGGCATTGTCAGGGGCAACACAAACAAAAACCGACAGGTATTCCAATAAATCTCTAGCTGGCTGATTTTTATAACGTGGCGCCGCTCCTGCTTCAGCCCCCATTGTCAGAAAGAAAGTATGCCTTCAGCTGGCAGTTCAAGCGTAGCTGAGGTCAACGACGACAGGAGTTCTCTCAGTGGTCCGTTAGTTTATCCAGTATAAATAACATGACAGACACGATAGCACAGTGACATCAACCCAGAAGAATCCAAGAGTTAGGAAATATTCAGTCGTCCTGAAATACAAAAATAAAACATCTTTGACTTTGTTTTTGTTTTTTTTTGTCCACTGTTCCTTTACAGAAGTGAAGTCTTTAAGGTGATTTTTTTAAGACAAGAAACTTGAGATTTTCAGTTACAGTTTTTTTTTTCTCCCCCAAGGAAAATTTGTGCTGTCCCATTGGGCCCATCAGTTCCTCCTGGGGTTGGGTTTTAATCGCCGAGCCCTTCGTGTCCGCTTAGTTACTGTGGTGAAACGAAATTCCTCCAGTGGGTTCATCCTGCCCTTCGGTTGGCGTTTCATGAAGTGAACTTCCTGTTGCCTCTGCGTGGTCCGCGAGCCTTTCTTGGGCCGCCCCTTCCGGTTGAAACCAAGGTACCATCCTTTGTACTTGGCGGACACAAGCGCTGTGTAGTTGTTCTCCAGGAATTCCTCAATAAAGACACACTCCTGGTTCGTTCCATTAGGCTGAAAGATAGGGGAAAAGTAGGGCATTAATGACTTATTAGCATGGCCCCTTTAACAGCTAACATTCTGGCTTATTTCCATTACACCTGTATATTCTGACTCACAATGGTTTGCTTCTCTGTTCAGGTTTTGCCTTTTCCAGTTTGGTGTAGGATGAACATGAAGTCTAAAATACTGCCTATATGTTGAGAACATTCATTTTCCTTCACTGCAATTATGAAGTAAATATCTAATTTTCACACTGAAAAGGTCAGCTAAAGGGGGGCATAAACCTTGAATCATGACTTTTGTTTTTCCACTTACAGTAGAAAAGGTTTTCTTCTGAGCTTGAATATAAACCAAGGTTAAATGTAAATGTATTGAACAGGACTAAATCCTTTAGTTTTACTGTATAATGTGGCACTGTAACATAATACTACTTTCTGTCTATTGGTGACTGTTTTTAATAGCAGTCTTTACTGTGTTTCACTAGTTGTATTTTAAAATTATAGCCATTATTCTTAATAGCCGATAAATGTACGTGAAAATAGCTATTAGCTAAATATTAGGCTATTTGTGCGTTAAAAATCTCTGGCTTCATTTTTTTTGTTTTTCAAAAACATGCTGTTGTGGTGTTAATTTAAAGTGACTAAAAAATACTGTGAAAATCTGGAGGATTTTGTTATTGTAGTGTACTCATACTATGTTCACATCGTAATGTTGTGCAGTGGAAAACCTTAGATGCACTTTTACCTGAGATCACATCTCACCATCAACAACTATGATGGAAAGTTTTTCTTTGGATTCAAGTATTTCCAGTGAAAAGTGTTCACAGTGAAAGTCTTTAGACCATTCAGTTTTTTATAACGGACATTTGACAACGTGGCAGTAACAGACTCAGAGAAAAATACCTGAGTCAGAAAATGTCCATCCATTTTCTACTGCTTATCCAGGCTTGGGTCGTGGTGGCAGAAAATATGCTTTGATTCAATATTTTGGGTGAATAGACCCTTTAAAAGTCCTTGATGGGAACACTGGTACATTTAATTGTAGCTGATTGGTTGTGACTTATAGTACAGCTTATTCTTATTATTCAGAGTGAAAGCCCAAGACTATCAATAACTTAAATGCCATTTTATCCTATTTTTTTTAATAATCCTGCAGTGGTTTAAAGTAGGAAGTCAAAAAAACATTTTTTATACAAATGAGGCCCCTGCAAACTAAAACTCTAAATGCATGTTTCTAACAGATGACCATGATGAGAGAGTAAAAATGTGTGTGAAGCATTGCTGCCCCACTGATGCTGACAGCATGACGTATTAATGCAACAAAATCACACATGTGCCTCCACAGTGTTCATTTGTAAATACGAGCTTCTCTTCCATATCGCAGCGGTTGTCAACACGCTCACATGCAGTCACCCTGTGCTTGTGGCCACCTGGTGTGACTAAGTGATATAATTGCAATGGCATTCCTCCTAAGTGACCATTAGTCTCTCGGTGCATTGTGGTGATTGCAGTCTGTAATTGACTGATCGAGTGTCAAAGGAGTAGGCCGATTACGTAATGAACGAATGGCTGTGAGTTATCAAAGGGGTTTTGTTAGGGTGGACAAAAACAGCAGGAGAAAGCAGATCTGAGGTTGCATTTAATTCAGCCCTGGATTAAGAGCTCCATGAAAATATTCATTTTGATATTAGCAATTTAATATTGTCATTGAAAGTACTGAGCTTTTTACTGAGGGATCAGTTGTTCTTAGAATATTCTGAAAACAAAAACCAAAACAACACTCACCCTTCCAACTACTTTGCCCTTTTCGTTCATGCAAATATAATGTTCGCTCTCTTTTCCTTTTATTCGAATGTGGCTCCCGAAGGTTTCTGTCTCAACAACAAGAAGAGCTGGAAAAGAGAAGAAAAAGTAGATTGTGAAGGGCAGGTATTATCCTTTCCACTCACATAAACATGGTTTAAGGATAGCCATACTATTAAGTAACGTTATGGTCGACATTTTTAGTTGTCTTCAATTTTTTGAGAAATTTCCAAGATACTCAGACCTAAAAATTATGTAATTCAGTTTCCAGTTCTATAAAAATACCCAGCAAACTGAAGTATTTATAATCAAAGGGGTAACACAGAGCTCTGTCGAGCAGCGAGCTAAAGGAAACAGATATTTCATTGTACACTAATATAATGAGGAAAATTATTATTATAGTTATGTTGATACTTGAGATACACTTTCATTTTTCAGCATATGGAGCACCGCCACAGATAACCACCAAGAATACAGGAATCAATTGATCTTAATGACTGAGAATCACTAACTGAAGAAATTCTCTAAGATCCAGGGCACATAGTACATTTCACAATGTGCAAAAATGGGATTATTTTAGCCTGTTTTCTAACAAAAAAATTAACAAAAGGAGTTGAACTGTGGGTTTCCAGAGCAAATCATTTAGGTTTTTTAAAGCTATATGAAATGTCACATCACTTTGACGTTGTTTATATAATACCAAACATGTACCAAAACAACAGTGGCACCGTCACTTCATCCTGACACAGCGGTAATCCACTCTAAAGACGTATCCTGGCGGCTCCTTTATTTTTCCACCTCCCCTCCTCCCCATCCCAAATGTTAACCCCCGCAAAGTCACCTTTGTCTCTGCTCGCCCCTCGACCAGCAAAGAGATCTGCCAAACATTTGTGGAGCGGTTATGTGCCCCTCAGGATTAGGTTTCAAGTTCTTTAGTCTGTGCTCACTCAATCAAAAAGTTAAGATGATCCATTTGTTTAACACACAGAGCCATTCAGTAGCGCTCAAGGGAGCAGAGAAAGAATAGGTAAAGGGGATGGGATGGGCTGGAGGGCAGAAGTAGCTCCCCCTCCTCCCCCACCCTAAAACCCAACCTTGGGAGGAAAGTGTGAAGTCAAAAACCTGTCTCAAAGGTGAAACTGGGGGAAGGTAGAAGTTATTTCTTCTCCTGGCTTAAGAGGTTTCTGTTTGAGCATCTTATTTGGGAGAGGAAAAAACAGCATTTCTAAGTTTTATCACTGGAAAGATCAGTCTGAACTTTTTTTTTTTACTGTCCTCGAGAAGGAACAGCATCCAACAAGACTGGTTTGCACACGATGTTCCAAAAGCTATTTCTACTCTGCAAGTCAAATCAAGAGTCATCTGACAACACTTTGGCCTTCCTACTCTTAGCTGGTTCTGCACAGAGCCCCAAAACTTTGACCTCAGCCATGAAGACTCAACCCAGAAGATCAAATTAAACAATATATTCCTCCTTAATGTAAGTTCTCCTTAGTCTGCGATCCCATCCAAACCCTCTTTGCTCTCTTGGAGTAAACCATCGATGGTTTGATCTGTTAAAACAAAGAGTCTGGCAGCCATAGCCTTCACCAAAGTGAATTAAAATCTTGAGTCACAGTCATAAGGACAAACACTAAGGGGAATCATAGTATCCGTATCAGTATCTTTTATTTACAGTGTAAACTCTTCAAACCCATAATCCATAAAATCCAGATCCTTAAAAAATCTGTAAATGTATGATGCATACTACACTTCAGTTATCACTTGGAAGCTGTTTAAGTGCAGGAATCTTAGAAGTGGCGATGATTAAACAACAGAAATTGAGTCTGAAACATTACAAAGGTGCCTTTATTTTAAAATGTTAGTGTTAACATATCTGAGTGTGTGAATAGACATCCAGTCTATATAAACTACTGGTATTCTGGGTGTTTTCTTAAACTTACCTCAGACATAAAGCTTCACAGGTGGCCATAGTTGGTGCAAAAAATGATGCAAAAATGAAAAATCATAGAATATCTGCCTTATTTTGTACAGTAATAAAGTACACTGCAGCTTAACTGTGAACTTTGAAGCATGTACAGCTCCATTTCTTCTCCTTGTGAGCAATGTTTTACTTTTTTGCATTGGTGCAATATGAACAATGTGAGGCCACAGGCATTTATCGACCTCAGCATGGGGGTCACCTGTCAAAAAGGTTGAGGCCCCTCCAGACTGCACCTTTTATCAGTTTAAAAGCCTTTAGCAGTGATCCACTATCTGCTGAGAGCAGACAACAGGCATCAGTTATGACAGATTGTTCTGGTTTTTTAAAAATAATGAATATGTTACATTAATACCCAAGAAAAATTACTATGCCCCTCGTGCTTATTGCACAAATGTGAACTAGAAACGATTTATTTCTTATGTGTTGCTTTGTGCCCCTTTCTCCAGAAGCTGCAGTGGCTGAGAGTGGATTATAGCAAAGAGTATGTTCCTGAGCTTTAGTAGCGAGTGCAAAGGAGTTCACAGGTGCCAGGTACTGCAGCTGGACGGGGAGGAGGAGGAGACGGGAGACGGGAGGAGGGGCAGAGGGCAGAATTGGCAAGGCCTCATGGGAAAAACTGGATCTGCTTCCACTCAAGCTCTAACAAGCAGTGATGAAACTTCGCCTTGGCGCATCTGTGACTGAACACACTCAGAGGCATTCAAGACCAGCAATTTTAGAGCCTTGAGTCAGCTGTTATGAGTAAAATATCTGCAGGAAAGCACAAAACAGGTCCTTTTGTCTCATGTTTGTGCTGCTGCATCAAAGAGTGCTTCAGTGACCATAAATTTACTAAACTACCATTTTTGTTTTGATCTGAACAGGTCCACACAAAAAGCAAAGATTTAAGGTTGACAGAAGCATAGAACTGCATTTGAAAATGTTCAAATCATTAAGTAAAACTAAATGTATCAAATGATTTTTGTCATCTTTATGCTTTAGCTTAACATTTTCAAGTTGGTATGGAGTAATTTCACATTGCGAGGCTGAACCAAATCATCAAGGTTGTTCATATCCAAAGTTACTTGTGACCAGTGACTGTTGCAAACTACCATGTAGTGAAGCAAAAGAAATATTATACATTTGGTTTTAGTTTTCTCTTGCCATTTCAAGTTCAAAAACAATATAGTAGTAAGATTTTAATTTTCTCTTCCCAACATGAACGATCACAGTCCCATTCACTGTGAAAAACAGTGAAAAACCCATTACCAAAAAATAAAAAACCAACAGATAATAACATTTTCCAAAATGGCAAACCAACAAGTAAGGTTTGGTCAACATTAGGCAGTCAGGAAAAAAATCTGCCCAAATTTGCTCTGGATACCCAAATGCTGCAGTAAACATCCACAGTAAAGTCAGCAATTTCAGCCTGTTTTCACCCCCACACCCACAACCAGCAAGTATTTGGTGGCTTCCAAAAGTCACGATCCACTCTTACCCAAGCCAAACACAGAACACTGAAAACCACTTCCGAACAATGAGCTAGCATCCCTCCAGCCAGGTGGTGGTGGCATTTCTTAACCTACTGTAACAGACTAGTTAAAGTGTCAGGTGAGATGCACAGGAGTTCTCCCATACCATACTTGCCCCCATCATCTCCGTTGGCATTGACTTTCTTCCCCAAAATCTGAACGTGTTTCCCTGTGGTTTTGCTGTACAGCTGGTAGATCCGGACCTGCTTCCGGCTCAGGTCATCCGGGTTCCTCGTGTGGTTTTCAATGTAAAACCTGAAATCAGCAGAACTCTGGTGGGATTCCTGCATGAGGGTGTGAGAGGGGAGGAATCAGAGAGAGAGAGACAAAAGATGAATAAACATAGAAAGAAGGATAGATGGACACTAAGAGACTGTCAGGTCACTGTGTTGATAGTGAGCGTGCTGTTGCTTGTATGGGCCCTCTGTTAAGGAAAATGTACTTTAGCAGCTAAAAATTGAAACAGCAACCTGTAAATTGTGGCTGTGGCATTTTAGCATTTAGTGTGTCTGTCCTTACTTTTCACATTTTATATGCATTGCATTTACAAGCTGCTAAGTTTCCAACAAGAGGTCTGAATAAAAATCCCACAGAACAAGTGCAATGTCTACTGTGCAGACTTTGTTTGTTTTGTACTGAGACAGCAGTATACTATGTGCCCCGGGCAATATTGAGAAACCTGTACTCCATTTCCACTAGCCAGCAAGCCACAAGCAATTATACACCTGAAGCATCCAGACCTGTTGCACTATCATCAAACAAATATCTGCCTACAGGCAAAGTAGGGTCCATAAATTAGAAAATGCAGCAGGCAGAAGACTGAGACGGCACCTTGAAACACAAATCCACTCTTGTAGAAGGCATTTTTAATCAAGTTGTACAAATCTGCATTTAAGAGCTCACTGGCCTGACGTTTATGAGGCACCTTAACCTTGATGTAAAAACTGAGGAAGTCACAGACTTGATGGGAGCAAAGCAACTGTCACCCAATGTGTGGAAGAGTGAGAGGTACACTTTCAGAAGCCCTGGAATCTTGTTTCACACCAATATCCCATTTCCCCAGCTGTATGGTGTGGTCATTGCACAATAATGGCTTTTTTGTGGCTTTACTCAGGTGGCTAATTATATACACATTACATACCCTGAATCCTTGTTTTTCTAACTTCAGTAAATTAATGACATGTAGCAAACATGATGGGTAATTGTGGCCATAGTAGAACTAATCTTTAAACATCTGCAAATCTGAGGGCAAATCCTGCTGAGGAGGCTCCACTGAACCAGGTGTCACACAAGTTGTGCCCCTGTTCAGCTGCCTAATCATGTGAAGAACACTGTCAACGAAGATGGATCCCTCAGAAAACCTGAAGCCCAGGTTGGACCCGTGCCTTCATGTTCGAGCATCGACTTGAGCTGTAAATCTTTTCACAAAGACGTTGCTCTCAAATGCCCAAAAGAAAGTGAGACAGCATTTCTCAGCCACATTTGGAAGAGCCTTTGAAACAGAAAGAACTTGTTGGGTCGTTATGACATATTCAGTTTAGAAATGTGGACCTCTGAGAATCCAGCCCCTGAACAGCTTCTGTATCTTGACATTTAGGAACACACTTGTAATGTTACTTTTGGCATCAGCCACTGTAGAAGATGAGAAGCTATATATCAAAATGCATTACCTACTGATGCAGCAAATGCGTGCTCTCAAACTGACTTCAAGACTTGACGCCCTGTTGAAACTTAAAAGTGGGAACAAGTTCCCTACCCTATTAATGAGATTCTTTTTATATAGGATAATCATTTTCTATGATCAGCTTCCCTAGGGATGAGCAGACTGCATTTCTATCATCATAATTTATTTTTTCTCAAAGCAAAACTATCAAAATTAGCTAAGGCTCTGTTGGCCCAATTGTCCCTCCATCAGCACCTGTTTTCTAGACACAACCTGCATGAAACAACTGCACAATGACGACGACAATATAACCTCCTCTTCTCTAATAAACAGCTTGTTTTTTACTACACAACATGACAACAAAATTAATAACAACTAGTGCTTTCTTAAGTCCTAAAAATATATAGCGAAGTCCTATTGTCATCCTCAAACATTTCCTAAATCCTAAACTCAAGCCACTCAACACCAAGCTTCACTGCACGATGAGGCACATGGAATCGCAGGAGTGACACATTATCGCAGCAAAAATTACAAATATAAAGTTTGTTAATTTTAAAAGACTTCTTACCACTAAATAAAACTGAATTCAGATTAAACATTTATGCAAGAGCGACATGTTCATCCCAAACTAGACACAACTGTGATGCATCTGTGTCACAATTCAAACATCAGCATCATCATGTTGTCATCTAACTCTCTCAGAAAGAACGACAAAGCTGAAGAGCAACAAAACAAGGCCTAACTGAGCTGCAGACGGATTTATCCCAAATCTCCACATCTCTAAACAAACATAAAGGTGTGTTTGGTAGACAGTTGCATTTCACGTCAAGGGAAAGGCAAGCCTAAACACATGGACATGGTCTAACAGACGTGAACGCTAGTGACAATAGTTTTTTTTTTTTTTTTTGATCCCGCTGTCTCCTTTCTTCAAAGACACAGCATGAAAACGGATATGGCTGAAACTTCAAAAGTCTGGCAGCACTCCTCAACAAGGAAGCTGAGTTGTCACGTCCATCTAAGATACACCTTTCTATCTGTTTGCACACTAACAGAAAGACACATGCATGTTGGCAGTGCCTCCCAAGTTTACTTCCAACTGTGGTTGCTTCTTTTATTTTGCCTCATAAAATCATAACCACAGAATGACACGTAAGAGCCATTAGCTGCACATATCAGTGCTGAGAAGCAGAATGGGTTTGTAACATGAAGAGACCTTCTTCATGATTGGAGAATTAAAGGGCTATTACCACTTTTTTTGATGATTAGGCTGAAGCCACAATGCATCTCCCTTGATTGATACATGTCTGAATTGTCTGTAAACTGACTTTTTCTAAACCACCATAAACATGTTAATCAGATATTAACAGAACCAAAAAACATGAATTATAATTCACCAGTCCACCTCACGTCTCTGTATGAATTTCATCCGTCTAAAATGAGGACTTGACCAGTCGACACCAGCTCTGTTGCATTAATCAAAGCACACAGTGTGAGTGCGTAACACTGCATTTACCAGGTTTGGGGGGTGGGAAATTTATTTGCTGTTTCTGGGAAAGCTCATAATTATACAGAAATTTCATAAAATCCTGGCTTGGAACATGTACAGTAGTTAAGTAGTTTTGAAACCCGTTATTTCATCCTACCTCGAATGGGACAAGGTTAACCCAACAGCACCAACAGGGGACAAAATAGAACTGTGGGATCAACGGACTGGATTTTACAAACAGACTAATTCGTTTAAAAGAACAGCAGGAGGGATATTATGGCTAAACACCACATGCCAATAAAATGATCAGATAGCTTTAAGAGGGAAGGAGCGTGCACTGTGCGTATTACCTGAATCACAGCGCGCACTCATTTAGGTGAGTAGAAGCCTGCAAATCATTACTGTTCAAAGTGAGACTCCACAAAAAGAACAACAACAAAACAAACAAATAAATAAATAAAAACCAGCCACCAAGCGCCAAACCAGCCCATCTGTTCGAAGAATAGCTTTTAACCTCAGCTATTAAAATATGTCTTACACAGTTTTGTTGTAAAATACTGAAACTGATACTTGAACGTCAGGTCACAAACAACATGTTTTAGTTCCTGCCACACTGACAGAATTGATAAGAGACATTAGATCGATGCGAGTAGAAAACTGCTGATTAGATTCGAGCTTCTCCAATGACGAAGTGTTTATTAGATTTCTTTATCACAACATAGTGTTAGTCTGTCTACATTTGTCATCTGGGGACCTTATCGCAATAATACATTTATCTATATCATACTGCGAGAACTGCTGATATAGTCTAAAATTACGTAAATGGCGCGTCTTCAATATCCAAATTGAGCTTGGTTACTTTTTCATACGTATTACTATAATATCAGTGTAACATCTTTACTCTAATTTGGCTGCAATATCTTTGTTTTGAAGTTGTCCACTGATTTTATAGGTCTAAACTAAAATTACGGGCGGATTTCACCTTCAAGACTTTCATTAGTGTTAATTAAAACTGAGTTCATTAATCAAATCGTTTAAAACCTGAGGGACCTCTGTGAAAATTACCTGTATCCATCATCTGTACTGATCAAAATTAAAAAGTTGCCCATGCAACAAACACACACACACACACAAATACAAAAAAACCAGGGAGCACACGTACCTGTAGCTGGAAATAGAGCACGAGAAAATGTAAACACCTAAGTGGAGAGAGAAGGGAGGAAGGGAGTGAATCACATAGGCAATTACATGAAGTATAAATGCAGTCTACCTGAATGACATGTGCAAATGTGACGCTTTTAGCGACTTCTATTGGAAAGAATGCATGGTTTTATGTGCAAAAGACAAACGGAGATGTGGAACACTTACAGGTAAATGAACCTCGAAGGCAGCAGAGACATCTTGACTTGGAGTAATACACCTGAAATACACCTGCTTCCTCAGATTTAGAGCCCAAGGAAAGGTTGGCGAAATCGCCTCCCCTCTCTCTCTCTTCGCTCCCCTGCGCGTCCTTTACGGACACCACCGCTGTGGTAAGTAGATTGAATCCCAGAATAAGAGTGGATCACTGGAGAGCAGCAGCAGGGACATCGAGTGCCGCATTAGGTGCTTCCTTGTTGGGGGGAATTATTCAGAAGATTTTTTTTTCAGCTCAGTCTCTTCTGCTCCTCGAAATCCTACAGTCTCCGCAAACCGGTGCCAAGCGTGGAAAAGATTCAGAGCTCTGCCTCTTAAAAAGCCCCTCTTTAAAGTATATCCTTCGAGGTGTTCGCACCTTTAAACTACGAGCTGTCCTACAATCCCAATCCAGTGATCACAAACGCTTCAACTCCTCCCGTTTACCTGCGGGGGATTTGTACACCTTGCATGGGTCATTTTTATTTCACCAGTAGCTGCGAGAAAAACACGTAAAAGCGGTTGATAATGCAACGCCCTTCCACAAAAAAAGACAAGTCATTAAAAGTGGGCAAATAATTTCACCCAAGCATGCAAAAGTTTTGTTGCTGTGTGGAAATCGCAGAGACAGCAAAGGATCCCTGGAGAGGTTTTGGGGCTGATGATGGCGCAGCAGTGCCTGTCAGTGGTGTTTGTGCGTCTGCGGCTCGAGATTTGGGCAAAGAGAGGCTTTTTTGTTGTTGGTGGGTGGAAACATGTCAGCGGTTTGCACCTGATAGGGTAATCTTCGAGAGACCATGGGCTTGGAAAGGGTTTTTTCCTCTTGGTGGGCAAAGCGCTTAGCAGAAGAGAAGTACAACAAGGAGATAAAGTACTTTTTGGATTTTTTTTTTATTGGAATCTTTCTTAAAGTAGCAAAAGTTTGGAACATGACATAATTGACACTTGGATATGGACAATCTACTCAAAAGATCTGCGTCTAATTAGAGGCATGGGACCATTAGGGACATTTTATTAATTCATTTATAAGTTTGATTTGACCACGTTTCCATTTAAATCAACTTTTACGTAAAACGTTTTTTTTTTTACTACGTTCGGACTTAGTATTATCATTAGTAATAATGATAATATAAAAAGATTGTTACCTGGAGTAAAAAATAAACCGAGTTGCTGTGTTGTAACAGCGACAGAAACTGCTTCTGTCTTTAGGTTATCTGAGGTTTTAAAGCTGCTGCTGCTTTGTGGATTGGCCTCGGCTCTTCCAGACAGTATTCAAATGCAGGTTCAACCTCGATTTTCTTCAATAATGTGTTATAACTTATCCCGCATTTAAATGAAAGAGAGGTGTGAATGTGTTTCCAAGGCTTCAAAGCTGGCAGCTCTCATCCCAGTGCCACTAAAA